ACAAGTGTCCTATTCTAATAAATCACTTCTCTCTCACTTTGCCTCTTGCTCAATTCTTTTCTGTGTTGAGACATAAAGGACTATGGTACCAGAGCTCTTCGGAGCCCCCCCAAATGACACCTAACAGTTTTGCACATGCCTCTAGTCTGAAAAACAAATGTCAGAAGGGGAGAAAACTTCTATCTTCAGTCCTCACACTCCTCAGTACCAAGCATAGTGCCTGGCACAAACACCTTCAATACAATGTTTCAAAATCAACTGGACAGTTCTATTGCTTCATTGCTTCCGGTGTTTATATGCTTAGATCTCTTAGGTTTTGGGCTAACAGCTGATAGAAACATGAGCAAAGGGTTGAAAATAGAAACATTATAATCTCTATGGCCCCTTTTAATTCTAAACACCTTGGGTGTTTAGGCTACCACTTCATTAAGATAAACTAAAAAGCACCACAAAGCATAGTGATGTATCTGCTAACATAAAGGCTGGCCTTCTGCTGGGAGGGGTATATTGAATGCAGAAGTGTGAAATGTAATAATGTAGAAATAAGGAAGAAAGCATTTAGAAAAAATGGAGTACAGAGATAAGTTTTAGATTTTTTAAAAAAAACTATCACTTCTGAAATTAGGCCTCTATTTTTCTCAAATCTAAATTAGCTATTTAGAATAAGTCTTTACAGGGAAGACAAAGAAACTTTATTAAGGATTTAACAGATTATACAGCTTATACTAACCTAAAGCTTATGAATTTTAGCATCTATTGACTTTCACACTGGGCATTAAATTCCGGGTGGGAAAGAGTACCAGTGGACCAAGCAAGGAGGACACTTGTTTCAACCAGTGTAGCCGTATTCTACCTTCTTTAAAAACTGGGTTCCGGCACTCTGTGACCTGACAGAAGCTTCAGTGATGTTAGAAACTAATCCAATACTTACATAAGCTTCACTAATAATATTCATTTATTCTCCAAAACATTTATGTCCCAGTTCCTTCCATTTCTGAGCCATCAACATAAAAGCCCGGAGATGTTAAAGAATGTCCAAGACGAGCTTTCTTTGACAGTAAACGCGCGCGTACACACACACACACACACAAACTACTATATAAATCATATAAGTTACAAGAAATTTTCCATTAGTAAATAAGTCACTTAAGCTTTATTAACAGAAGTATGAACTGTGCTCCATTTAGAGATTTATCCTACCTTATAAGACTAGAAGTATTCTTATATTGGCATAAGTAAGGCCTTATTAGTCTCCTTTCTCTCCACAATTTCTAAGTATTATACACACTAGTTCTAAACACTTAATACTTAGGTAAAAGCAGAAATACTTATATAATTCCACAGAAAACAAAAATATTTTTTTGCATAAAAGCCCTCAACAATTCATAACTTGTATCTTTTTTAGGCTATGTAGCCCATGTGACCAACTTTTACAACAAAAAATGTTCCGTTATATTTCCTATGAAGACTTCAGGATTCCATTTTTCAGGCAAGTAAAATTTCCTTTTAGAAGTCTGCCACCCTACCCTAATACTAAACAGATAAATCTGAAAGTAATTTTGGAGCTGGCAACAGGAATGCTTTTAGCAATCTTGTTACCAATTCTATTACACGAGAGCCTACTGTATCAAGGTGCAAAGTCAATGCAACATCATCCTGAGAGTCTGTTTAAAAGAAAAGTATCTATTCTGGGGAGTGTGCAGGAAACATTCTCCATGCCCAGGTTTTTTTTTTTTTTAAGGATTCCATTGAAATAGTAAGGATTTAGGTTTGAAATTTATGGAGAGTAAGAAAATAATGAGGCCCTATTTCCACCAGGGCTACTTGTTTGTAGCAACCCTGTGAGGTAGTTATTATCCCCATTTTACAGACAAGGAAAACTGTGGCTCTGATAAACTCAGCAGCTTTGGGTCACACTGCTCGTAAGTATGAGGTTGTCTTAATTACAAGTCTGTACATGGACTTTTTTTGGTTTTGCCACACTGGTGGTTTACAAGCTAGGTATTCTGGGGAGGAGGAAATGGGTATAACCAAACAAGGGCTCCAGCCCTATATCCCTATCTGAACCAGAAGCAGCTATAGTTTATCTGTTTTATATGCTGGGCTTAAGTCTAACAATTTTTCTTAAAAGGTTTCAAAACTAACATATTTAAACTACTACACTGTATTATGTATTAGGCTACCTACTTACCACATTTATGCTATTTATCTTCATCATTTTCCCCCAGAGAGAACAATGAACTTTATTCAAAATTACATAATTCTACACAAAACAAAAATATTTTTGCATAAAAGACTTCAACAATTCATAACTTACATCTTTTTAGCCTATGTAGCCCATGTAACCAACTTTTACAACATAAAATGTTCCGTTATGTTTCCTATAAAGAATTCAATTTTTCAGGCAAGTATAGTTTTTATATTATGATGAAAATTGCCCATACTAAATGAATTGCAACCTTGGTTTTCTAATTAAGTTCTAACATGAGGAAGCAACTTTACCTAGGCAACTGCAGTAATTAATCCACCAAAAACCAATAAAAGCACCCTCCATTTTCCTTCCTTATCCAGAATTGAGAATAAAAGCATCCAACAAATGTATGACATTAGAGATCTTAGTTAGTCTCTTAGATAACACACCCAAACTAATGATTATTAATTAATTAATACTTTATAGGAAAGAAATTTTCAACTCATTACTTTTCAAAAGGAAAAACGTATCATTCCATAAGTGAAAATAATTTCCACCGCTATTAGCAAGAGGGGAATGAAAACAAAAAACTCAATAAATCTTTCTGAAACACATTAATAAGACGTTTTAGTTTATTTGTTTAAAGAGTGTAAGTAGTTCTTTAAAGGCAAGACTTTCGTTAAAAGCAGCTAGTAGTTAAGACCATGGCTGTCAAACTAATGTCTTTCACAGAGAGTGGCTTTCCCTTTTAAGTGTTTCTAAAAATATCTTAGGACAGTCTTATCATTCTAAAGAGTCTATCATTATATACATATTATTTGTTGTCACTTTAAAATTTTGGGCAGAAAAAAAAGCACTAATAAATAAAGGGAGGATGAGAGTTTAAAAACAAACAAACAAAACCCAGCCTTGATCAGTCTAATAAATACAGTATTCAGAATGAGTACACAGCAACAAGTCCTCTCAATGAGAGTGTACATTCACAGTACTGAACAAAAAATACAGACCTAAGAATTCCATTCTCTCACTTCAATAGACTGGCTTATGCATAACCACATCTTAAACCAGTGTGCTTTTCTCAACTCCCTCTTTATATTTAAAATGTAGTTTTAAGTTCCAGTGATTGACTCATTTTAATTTTTTAAAAAATGCTGGAAATTGTGAGTTATATTAAAATGCCATTCCATTATAATTACAATACCAATGTACAGATAATTACTGCTTGGGAACATGTGGAGTACCTTTTAAAAATAACCTTCCTTGAGGTACGGTTTTGTCTGTTGAGGGTGGATTTGCCTAAGCTCAACTGGACCAAAGGTATGTGAAATAAAAGAGGGGACTTAGCTGGTTACTTGCCGTACACATAAAGTTATGACTATTAAGAAATTTTACTTACCTTTCTGTGAGATTCAAATTGACTTTAAATCAATTTGAAAAAGACTTCTCACAACTTTCTAACAGCAGTAGGGCTGCTAGAATACCAAGAGAATAGCTTCTCAAGTTGGCTCTTTGCCAGTTTTGAGTAATTAAGTCTCCCTTCTTTGGGGTGGACCTACATGGTCTCCAAAGTCCCTTCCAAAGCTCCATCTTTACAGACATAATCATACCTCATATAAACAACCAAAATAATTCCTACACACCACGTTGTATTATTAGCCCCAGGCATCTTATAGCATGGGGAACACCACACAATAGAGTACATTTTCTTGAAAATGATCACTTATTAAAAAAAAAAAAGAAAATGATCACTTATTATTTACTGTACCTAAAGTATACTACCATTAAGAATAATTGAGCAAATGCAGAAGCCAGCTTCTCTGGATCTTTAGTATTCCCTTTAATATTAATGGTGGTGATTAATACTTATGATACAGACTCACTAGTCTGCAAAATAATGGAAGTCAGTATTCATTAGATAAAACAACTATACCAATGGTTACTTCTAAATAACTTCAAAGAAATTATTATCTGAAAGTTAAAACAACAAAAAGAAATTTATCTTCCACATAAGTTCTACTATAAAATAGTTTAAACACATGACTGATTCTGCAAGTTCTTTTTCAAAACTGCTTCATACATTAGAAAATATCTTTGTCCAGTCTCACTTCTTCTTCTCTTCCTACTTCTGTCCCCCTCGATATCTATTATTATGGATGCAAACTCAAGAATTCAAGGTATAAGGGATAATTTTGCTTCACAGATATCATGACTACCCAATACAGCAAAAACAAGATAAAAAGTGAATAGACCTGAACTTAAAAAAAAAAAAATACAAATTAGGATAATAAGATTATATTTGGAAAAATAGATATTTTCTCTACTAGAAACAGCAAAACATTCCACATTATTTTCTTTCCCAGTTGCATGGTTAATTAGCATACATTCCAATAGTGTGCATGAAAAAATTTCTAAGTCACAGGTACTTAAGTGATTTCTTCATCAGTGTTCTGGCTAATTCAGTGGCCAAGAAAACATGATGTTTGGTCTCTAATTAGATGGAGTTAAGAAACAAAACCAAAGTTCTGAGAGTTAACCTGATATGACTTAGCAAAAATCTGTCATTACATCAGCTGCAAGTTTCCCTTCTCCCAAAAAGGAAAAAAAATTGACTGCTTAAAAGTGTCCAAACTTCCAGTAAACTTCTAACAGCTCATTTTCAGGTGACCTAGGAATGGAGTGAGCCATCTGTAAAGCCTGAAGTGGTCCAAATAACACAGGTAACTTCATGATGGCTGGAAACAGATGCTGGCCCCAAGTCAGGTAGAATACCCAATCTTCAGTGTCAAGGAAGGAAACAAACTCCAAGCTTCTAAAACACGTAACGACAAGTCCAGGAACGTGGCCGGATGTAATCCAGAAATGTGGGCTTCAAGGGGGAAAATAAAGGGAAGAACAGTTTATTTGTATGCTCTGTACATGTGAGGTATGGAGTAGATTAAGGGGGTGCTGTTACGTATTGTACTTTTTAAAAATTTTATTATGTATTTATTTATTTTTGGTTACACTGGGTCTTCGATGCTGCTCGGGCTTTTCTCTAGTTGCGGCGAGTAGGGGCTGCTCTCTAACGGTGTGCGGGCTTCTCACTGCGGTGGCTTCACTTGCTGTGAAGCAGAGGCTCTAGGGTGCACGGGCTTCAGAAGCTGCAGCACATGAGCTCAGCAGCTGAGGCTCCCAGGCTCGAGAGCACCGGCTCAGTGGCTGTGGCACACAGGCTCAGCTGCTCTGAGGCGCGTGGGATCTCACCCGATTAGGGATCGAGCCCAAGTGTCTCCTGCATTGGCAGGCAGACTCTACCACTGAGCCACCAGAGAAGCCACATACTGTACATGTCTTACATGTCTTCCAGTAGTTAAGCCATAAGCAGCTCACTAATTCAAAGAGAGTTCATCATTTTTATCTACAGCACAGATTTACTTGATTTAGAAGGCTTTACATGAGGCTAAGTCCAGTAAAATTTACAAAACTGCATGGACTCCTGACGAAATTCCAAATAGGCATTACCCTTTTTCTGTATCTTGTGTTTTATAAGCACCACCCAAAATCTAAATGATGGTGGGTTAAGGATGATAATATACACAAATTACTATAATAATACAAAGTTTAAAATTACTGAAATTATGTAAATGAGGAAGAGGAGAAAGTTCAGAAATAGAGAGACTGGTGCAGGAATTGGAAAAAGCTTCATGGATGACACTGCATCCGGAATGGATTTTGATAAAATCTGACAGGTGAAATCTGAGTGCAAAGAGCAGAATGACGAGAGACAGAGTTCGGAGCAACTGGTTCAAATGCACAAAGGGGATTCACAGGAAATAAGGAGGGGGTCGAGAGCAGCATAGCAAAATCAGGGTTGACAGCAGAAGCTTTGGAAGGGAAACCGAATGATTTGATTTCAAGTATCTTTAGTTATGGGCTCCCCAGGTAGTGCAGTGGTAAAGAATCCACCTGCCAATACAGCAGACCCAAGAGACGCAGGTTCAATCCCTTGGTGGGGAAGATCCCCTGGAAAAGGAAATGGCAACCTGCTCCAGTATTCATGCCTGGAAGACTGCATGGAGCCTAGTGGGCTACAGCCCATGGGGTCACAGAGGGTCGTACACAACTGCGACACACACACCTTCAGATACAGGCGCCAGGGAGGAATGCCCGGGCAGGTGCGTCAAGAAGCCCCGCCCACCCCAATACTTGGGAGTTAGCCTATAAGCAGCTAAAAGCTAAAGTTCTACGAATGAGACTCTCACATAATTACAAAAAAGAAAACAAAAACAAAATAACAGGATTGAGAAAGTAGCGCTGACATAAACACACTACCATGAGTAAAACAGACAGTAAGAAGCTGCTGGGTAACATAAGGAACTCAGCCTGGTGCTTTAGGACAACCTAGAGGGGTGGAATGCCAGTGGTGGGAGGGAGGCTCAAGAGGAAGGGAATATATATATATACAGCTGATTAAAGTTGTATGGCAGAAACCAACACAACACTGTAAAGCAATTATCTTCCAGTTAAAAAATAAAGGAAAATGGGCTCATAGGCATATGAGTCTAGCTGAACACTGTTACGAAGAGTTTATTACTTCAGAAAAGAAGAGGTAAAAGATAAATATTTGTGGGTTGGAATGGATACACATGCCACCAAGAAAACCTTGGAGAAGACCTGCACTTTTCAGGGCACAGGAAGAATATTAGAAGGAGCTAAAGAAAAATCAGATGAGGAGGGAAAAAAGAGAGACAGAACCAAGAACTAGGAGAGTTCATGGGAAGAAAACAAAAGAAAAGAAAAAGTTCAAGGACAGTACAGTAAGATTAGATATGTTAGCGCTTTTATTTCACATTTCCCTCCCCTTAACATTAATTCATCACCGTCTCCACTACCCCCTTCCCCTTAATCCTGCCCACAACTCTCATAATCAGAGGACAAATAGGTTACTTTTCTACTCCAGTCTGATTGAAGACTCACATTTTTCAGAGGGCAGTGTTGACGTGCATACCACTCTTGAGAATAAAAACACAGGAGGACTCCATTGCCCGCAAAAAGGGAAGTCCACATCAGAACATTCCAAATTGGTCTTTTCCGACTATCGTTGACAATAAAGTTGAAAGCCACTAAAGTTGTAAAAACAACAAAAGTTATATACAGTCCTCAAAACAATCTACCAGGAGTTTAGGAGAATCAGATATTTGCTATAATCATTCAGTTATCATAAACAGCTTCAAGTGTGTATATACAGTTCTATTCTGGCCAGTGGTCATAAAAGTAAAAACAAAGCTTCATTGTTAAAACTTATTAATCAGTGATTATTTGGAAATCAGTCAGTATTTCAAATAGGTGAAAATATATCTTCCATGAAAGCATTCGTATTCTAACTTGTCCCTCTCCACCCCACCCAAAAAAAGGGTTAGTTCTTTTTCAGAGGATGAACACTGTTAACAGAGTTTAAGAATGGCAAGGTTTTTTATAGTTTTTATGAGCTACCAAAGCAGTGTTATCAATAGTCTTCAACAGGTTATTGAGCTCATTTCCCAACATCAAAGTGTAAACATCTTGCAATAGAATTGTGTATAATTAAAAAAAAAAAAAGAATTGTGTATAATTACTCAAAATTAATATTCTTACCATCTGACAAACACTGCCTTGATATGGTATGATTACTATCTAGTTTTCTACATCAATTTTCTGTTTTCTTTTCTAAGTTTCTCTTTTAGCATTATACTCAGTACTCACGAGATGCCAAGATACTCACTTCCAAAGAACATGAAGAGCACAAAGAGCACCGGATAGAAAAAGCTCAGGCAAACGGCCAGGGCATACTCGTGCACCACGGCAGACACAGCGAAGACGGCCAGCATGGCAGCTGTCTTGAACCTCTTTGTGAAAAACTGGAGTGAGAGGAAAATAGTAAAGGCACTTTTCAAAAAGTCAGTAATCAAACATGCACTGCATGAGACATGATGAAAATGTACTAAAGGCACCCATTTAATTATATCTGTATTTGATTTTCTAAGTTTACTCCTTGGAGTAATACAAATGTACTAAAATAATGACAAAAAACATCTAAGCTTAACAATCCTTATTTCACTAAATGAGGCATTTCCAAAACTCATGTTGAAAGATTGAGCATACGTTCAAAAACATTAATAACTTATATCTGTAACTCACTATGGTTGACAAAACATACAAATGGAGAAAGTTAGGGGGAGATTGGAGATTATCTGTTGGCAATGAGACTCCTTAAAAAAAAAAAAAAAAAAAACCATTACTGGTGGATCATTTCAGCTTCTCCAAATGCCTCCATGCATTCTTATATTGTAGCCATGAAACCCAGAGCAAAGACAAGGTCTTAATCCTAGTAACTGTACACACTGGTCCTCTAAGCAGTACTACTCGAAGCAGAAGACTTCTGAGACCTTACGGGCTCACAAGAAAATTGAAGACAACTAAGTATAATTTCTTCCAGCTGTACAATACTAATACTTTCTGGAAAAGAATCTGTTTCTTCAACAATTTCAACTAAACCTTGCTGCTCACCCAGAGAAAGTCCTTGTAAGCATAGTAATATAGCCAGTCGTGGACCACCACATTCCAGGTCCTGTAATAGTTAGAGTATGATGTAGAGTTCCACCAATCCTGAGGAGAAAAGCAGGTGTGAACACATGAACAGAGCCAAAGAAAAGCCTCCTGAGTACTCCCAGAGAATCTATGCACATATGAGACATCCAGAGTGTTATGGCAAACTGTCAGTCCACACACTGATGCAGCAAAATCTTCAAAGGCATTTTGGTTGTTAGTGTTCAATGTGACATTAATCCTAATTCAACGGATGATTAAGTTCCCAGGTTCATTGCGTCTCATCATCATCAAACAAGTTATGATGGAAGATACACAACATAATCATTCAAGATAAATAATCTAAATAATTTAGTGTTCATCTAAGTAACAATCACTTACCTTGCTAAAACACAATGAGAGAATTTGAAGGTCACACAGACTTAGATAGTATGATAACCCTCAAGATCAGCTTGCTGGTATAATAAATAGCAAAATGTAAGTTGTACAAGTGAGATGGTAGCCACCTCCAAGTCCTAGTGCTCCTTTAGACGTATCTTGTTCCCTACTCTTAAGATCAAACCCATGGAAGAAGACATCTAAAATTTACACCACACTCACAGCTCTTTTGAGAGAAGAGTGGGGAAGGCTCAGAGTGTTACCAAAACATCAACAAACAAAACTCTAGAGGGCTTTGGGTAGGATTACAGAACACCACTGGGGGAGGAAATGGCAACCTACTCAGGTAATCTTGCCTGGAGAATTTCAAGGACAGAGTAGCCTGGCAGGCTACAGTCCATGGGGTTGAAAAGAGTCAGGACACGACTGAAGCGACTTAGGACAAAACACTATGAACCAATCTGCCTCCAGCCTACAACTTAATACCAACTTTGGAAGCCTAAGAATACTATGTGAAGCAGAATTAAAGCCTTTCAAAACAAAGGAGCGAAACGTTACTTCCTTCATGGACTGCTGAACAATCTTACATAGAATAATTTGCTGAGATGGCTACTACATCACCAGACAGCCAAGTTCAAATGAATAAAAAGTCAGCAAAGTCTCAGAATGCCCTCTGGACACATGATCTCCCACTATAATCACCAGTATGGGATCCAGTAGAAACCAAATGTGGATATAAGGGAGCAGATGTTAGAAGCAGCAGAAAAGACAAGACTATGCCAGTTTTATCAGCAACAAAATTTCTGACTTAATATTGGTAAAACCTGTGGGGGAAAATGACTTTACAACATTTATGTTAAAAAGCTAGTAGCCAACAATATTCAAATACTTAACAATGAGGACACAAAACATGAAAAGGAGAATGAGTCCAAGTACATGTTACCTTATAAAACATCCTGTCACCAAAGCGTAACATCTCAGCAAAGGCATTGAGCCAGCAGTGCAAAAAGGCAAAAAAAATAAGAAACAGTATCAGCACACCTAAAAATAAGATGAACAATATTAAGAGTCTTTCCAAATAGCTCATATACTAGTAAGTTAATTACATGTTGTCATTTGCTTAGCTAAATTACTTTGTAAAATTAAAGTTATTATTCCAGCTTATCCATTCCAGAAACAATATGGTGTTTTTTGAAAGCTAATTATTTCAACCCAATAAAGAAATGACTTTCTTCCTTTTATAGACGAAAATGACCCAGTTTGTTTTTAATGGAAATGCCTAAATGTATGGCTTAACTTGGTAGTAGACTTCTGTCATTCTAAAATATTCCATGCCTTTGAATCCATCCCACAACCTGGAAGCAACTTTCTAATACCTCTCTACCAGGCAAATGCCTGTTTATTTTTTAATACCAAACACTAAATGTCATCTCCACTATAAACAAAGTTCATCAGCACTTTATATACATTACACAATATTTTAAAATATCCATTTACATGCCCATCCCTTTCAAAACTATTAGTCTACTATGTATAAGACTATATAGGAGAGACTATGACTGGCTGACCTGACTATAACACACAATCCTTGTGCTTATGGAATTTGCAGCCTACTGGGGAAGATATACGTAAGTAACACGTATTCTATCAGAAGGACAGATAGATTTATTGGAGTAAATCTTGAAGGGCAATCAGGGAGTGGTACTAGAAAATGTCTGGGGTGGAGGGAAAGGAAGAGAGAACATGACAGGAAACAATAACATTTAATGGGTAGAGAAAAGAGAAAGAGTAAGGAAAGGAAACTGTGAGCTGTTCACTGCTACATATGGCATGACCAGAAAGACAGGAGAGTAAGAGGGACAAGAGAGACTTTAATATGCGGTCAACAGCATTCAATGCTTCATGGAGATCAAACAGATTAAGGGCTAAACCAACTACTGGAGGAGATCAGCAGTTTTAATAAAGGCCATTTCAATGGCCTGGTCCAATCAGGAGCAGGAGTACATGACTGAATAGTGAATGAGAAGATAAAGGATAAATATGGGCTGTGTGCATTCACTACAGTCAGAGAAAGCAAAACTTGAGTGAAAGTGAGATGACAAATGGAAAGAATAGCCAGAGATAGGAAGTACGCTTCATTTGTGGGATATATGGAAAGAGATCAAAGATGGGTACAGATGTGTAGATGAGTTTATAGTGAAAAGCAGGTCAATCAAAGGTGCTCATATGCAATAGCTTTCTGTTTTCCCTGCAACTTCATGAATGGCCATATTAACCAGTACCCACATTACCTGGCAAGATGGAGTTAAATATACATAAGATCAGAACACGAGCGCTAAAGGGCTCCTGTTTGATATTCCGAAACAAGGGGGTGCAGAGCCTTTCAAAGATGTAGTACACATAAAAAAAGCAACCAAAAACCTGGAACATAACAAAGATAATTACAATAATGGTGGCTTGATCAGGAAAGATAAAAAGTGATTTTTTTTTCTTCAAAAGAAGATACATATGTGATCCATAAACTAATGTTTACACACACACACACACACACACACCATTTAACATGAGTGTGTAAGATTGCTGAACTTTAATCCTTCAGAGATAGTACTCAAGGCTAATACCTATCATACCCATTCTCAAGCCTTTACCAAATGGCATTTTTAAAAGATCAGATTTTGAAATCTGCTTTTCCTGTTACATGAAACCCGTAACAAAAAAAAACCTATTTCATAAATGGGTATTTGATTGACACAAAATTTTAAAATTTGTTCTTCTGGGATTTATGATACAGATAAGGGGTTGGGAGACTGTCAGACCACATCTACACATATATATCAGTAATAAAATAAAAAACAGAAATGGAGGGGGAAATTAGTGTAGATGCAAACTGAAGTAACCACATAGAATTACTTTAATTACAATAAAAAGTTTTATTATAGGAAATTACTTTTGATGTGTTGGTAAAGCAAATACCAGTTACTGTACTGGGAAGAGTTTCCACTTACACAAGATACCTAGAATAGTCAAATTCATAGAATCAGAAAGAACACTGGTAAATGCCAGGGGCTGGGGTAAGGAGGGGGGACGAGGAGTTAGTGTTTAATGGGGACAGAGTTTCAATTTAAGAAGGTGAAAAATTTCGGGAGATGGATGATGGTGAGAGTGGCACAATAATGTGAATGTACCTGGTGCCACTAACTGTACAATTAAACATGGTTAAAACAGTATGTTGTACACTCTGTGATTCTACCACAATATTAAAATATATATACACACACACACACATTTATATATGTAAGACTTTGGTAAGAGTTTCAGAGCTCCTGGTAGACATGAATTTACCATCATTTTAAATATATTAAGTTATTATTGTATTCAAATCCCCATCTCCCACCAACCAACAAACCTCAGGCACTTCAAAAAAATTTACCTGTGCAAACTGCATAGTCACATAACCCCATCTTACAGTGGGAGTCCTAAAACGGAAGAAACAAAACAACTTTCTCAATAAAGTAAATAACTGAACTTTAAAAAAGATCCTCACAGTATTTTCCCCACATAGAATATAATTTTTGATGTAGGAAATACGTGTATAATTCTGTTAAGAATTACTGCAATCAAATCAGATTGCCAGAATCACCATTTGGGATTTCCCATGCCAGCAGCAGTCCTGCTCTATACTCCTACATGAACTGGCCCACCTAACCGCCTCACTCCTGGCACATTCTGGTGCTTTCCCATTTCTGCTTCCTAGTGCCATTACCTGGGATAGTTGTCACGGTAGATGAGGGTAGGAGCAAACAAGAAATACAAGTACTGGTTGACTGTGGGTACTGGAACAGTGCCTGGAAACAGGAAACTATGTTAGACTGGAGGCTCTTCATTTTCTTTCAGCAAAACTGAAAGGGGAATTTAAGCACAGAATAGGGAAGACAAAAACTACCTCTCCTTATCTGATGATGTTTCCTCTTGCTCTGTCAAAATGATGATGTCTTATCCCTAAATTAATTGAATATTACCCATCCCTCTGTGGGCTTCCCTGGGGTTCATAAGCTAAAGCGTCTGCCAGCAATGCAGGAGACCTGGTTTCAATCCCTGGGTTAGGAAGATTCTCTAGAGAAGTAAATAGCAACCCACTCCAGTACTCTTGCCTGGAAAGTTACATGGACAGAGGAGACTGGTAGGCTATAGTCCATGGGGTCACAGAGAGTCGGACACAACTGAGTGACTTCACTTTTAATCCTTTTAAGTTAAGTTATTCCTGTGACTCCTTGATTTGGAAGGAGAAAGCACATGGGGCATAATGAATCTATTAACATTCTACATAGGCAGAACACTCTCTGACATAAATCACAGAAAAATCCTCTAAGACCCACCTCCCAGAGTAATGGAAATAGAAACAATAAACAAATGGGACCTAATTAAACTTAAAAGCTTTTGCACAATGAAGGAGACTATAAACAAGGTGAAAAGGCAGCCTTCCGAATGGGAGAAAATAATAGTAAATGAAACAACAGGCAAAGAGTTAATCTCCAAAATATATAAGCAGCTGCATGCTGCTCAACACCAGAAAAACAAACAACCCAACCAAAAAGTGAGCCAAAGAACTAAACAGACATTTCTCCAAAGAAGACATACAGATGGCTAACAAACACATGAAAAGATGCTCAACATCACTCATTATCAGAGAAATGCAAATCAAAACCACAATGAGGTACCATCTCACAGCAATCAGAAAAGCCACCATCAAAAAGTCTACAAACAATAAATGGTGGAGAGGGTGAGGAGAAAAGGGAACCCTCTTACATTGCTGGTGGGAATGCAAACTGGTATAGCCACTATGAAGAACAGTGTGTAGATTCCTTAAAAAACTGGAAATAGAACTGCCATATAACCCAGCAATTCCTCTGCAGGGCATACACACCGAGGAAACCAGAATTGAAAGGGATACATGTACCCTAATGTTCACTGCAGAACTGTTTACAATAGCTAGGACATGGAAGCAACCTAGATGTCCATCGCCAGATGAATGGATAAAGAAGTTGTGGTACATATACAATGGGATATTACTCATTTCCCACTGGAACACATCTGAGTCAGTTCTAATGAGCTGGATGAACCTGGAGCCTATTATACAGAGTGAAGTAAGTCAGAAAGAGAAACACCAATATTGTATATTAAGGCATATGTATGAAATTTAGAAAGACAGTAACGATGACCCTATATGTAAGACAGCAGAAGAGACACAGATGTAAAGAACAGACTTTTGGACTCTGTGGGAGAAGGGGAGGGTGGCATGATTTGAAAGAACAGCATTGAAACAAGTATATTACCGTATGTAAAACAGATGACCAGGGCAAGTTTGATGCATGAAGCAGGGCACCCAAAGCCAGGGCTCTGGGATAACCCAGAGGGCTAGGGTGAGGAAGCAAGTGGGAGTGGGGTTCAGGATGCAGGGCACACTTGTATACCTGTGGCCAATTCATGCTGATGTATGGCAAAAATCATCACAATATTGTAAAGCAATTATCCTCCAATTAAAACAAATAAATTAAAAAAAAACATTCTGCACAAATAATGCAAAGTTGCAAGAGTTTAATAATCAGTGTTTTTAAATTTGGGTTGCTACAAAGGTAAAATGGAAACAATCAGGAAATAGCAAGAAAGTCTTCCAAATCAATGCAGACCATATATAGATAGATAGATAGATATAGATATGGATATATAGATATATATATATATTCCTCCTTCCTAACAAGTTGGGTGTTTTGTTTTTTGGATCCTTGTATTTAAAACCAAACATAATATCTACAGAATGTAATATACAATCAATCCCAGTAAACACCCTAAGGTTGAAATACCCTATGAACAATCCTTTGACTTCTGGAATTACATACCTGATTTCTCCTTGGCTGAATTGAGTACCCGAGGCACATTCTCTCTGACAAATGAGTGGGCCTTCATTATAAAACGAATCTGCAAAGGAGAAGGAAGGAAAGATGACTTTTCTATCACTGTCTTGTCTCCTATAAGCAACCACTGAACAGCACAAGATTATAATCATATAAAGAGCTATTAATTTTGTATATGCCAACTCAAACTCACTTTAAAGGACTAAACAGTGAAGAACTCTAAAGAGGGATATATTATTACTCAAATTACTTTGCATCTAACACCTCTATTACATGTATATTATGAATTGAGAAATTAACAGCCTGTTCAAAGAAAGTCTCCTGAAATAGTCCTTTTCATCAAACAGAGCATTTCAGACAACCAAGCAGAGCACTGCTGTTACTGCTGATCAGTGGCCGTCATGCCCGACTCTGCCACTCCATGGACTGCAGTACGCCATGCTTCGCTGTCCTCTATCTCCTAAAGTTTGCTCAAACTCATGCCAACTGAATTGGTGATGCCAGACAACCATCTCAACCTCTGATGCCCTCTTCTCCTTCCCTCAATCTTTCCCAGGATCAGGGCCTTTCCCAGTGAGTTGGCTCTTCACATCAGGTGGACAAAGTATTGAAGCTTCAGCATCAGCCCTTTCCAATGAATATTCAGGACTGATTTCCGTTAGGATTGACTGGTTTCATCTCCTTGCAGTCCAACGGACTCTCAAGTATCTTCTCCAGCACCACAGTTCAAAAGCATCAATTCTTTGGTGCTCAGCCTTCTTTATGGTCCAACTCTCACATCCGTACATAACTACTGAAAAAACCATAGCTTTGACTTGATGGACCTTTGTCAGCAGTGATGTCTCTGCTTTTTAACATGCTGTCTAGGTTTGTCATAGCTTTTCTTCCAAGGAGCAAGCGCCTTTTAACTTCATGGCTGTACTCACCACCCACAGTAATTCTGGAGCTCAAGAAAAGAAAATCTGTCACTGCTTCCACTTTTCCCCTTTCTATTTGCTATGAAATGATGGGACCAGATGCCATGAACTCAGTTTTTTGAATGCTGAGTTTTAAGACAGCTTTTCACTTCCCTCTTTCACCCTCATCAAGAGGCTCTGTAGTCCCTCCCTCTTCACTTTCTGCCATTAGAGTGGTATCATCTGCATATCTGAGGTTGTTGTTATTTTTCCCAGCAATCTGGATTTTAACTTGTGATTCACCCAGCCCGGCATTTTGCATAATGTACTCTGCATATAAGTTAAACAAGCAGGGCGACAATATACAGCCTTGATGTACTCCTTTCCCCATTTTGAACCAATCCATTGTTACATTACAGATAGCCAATGTAAGTCAGAAAATTCTGAAGGGCGTATAAGCAAAATAAATCTTTTAGATGGTTATATGACAAAACAATCAATCTGACACTTTAAAAGTGGAGTTTTTAATGACAAAAAATATTTTCTAATTTAGATGGCTTCTAAAAAAAATGTTCAAGAACTAAATTTGAATTCATCCAGAATAGTTCAATTTATTTAAATTATCAAGAATCAGACACTGAAGATAGAACGAATTTTAAAAGATGATCTAGTTAACACTTTAATTTTATAATTAAGAGCCTAAAGAACCAGATATGAAAATTTATCTAACTAATAAACAAAAGTAACTGAATTATTATTACTAACTAAGCCAATCATTGCACTAGGCATACTCAAAATCTTACCTGTTCAAGTATAACGATGCACCGGGAAGCTGGTGGTAGTGTATATGCTAACACAACATAAAGTGGTCCTATACCTAGAACTCCAGTCTGGAAGACCACAAAAAGGAAGCAGTGTATGAAAGAATAGACCACTGGATGAGCAGTCCTGTGATAGCCTCTGGCCCAGCGTTGAAACAGGAAATAAGGAACTGTAAGTGTACACATGAACATGGTGAGCCACGTCCACACAGCGACAGTAAGCTTCCCAAACGCGTAAGACATGAGGTTGAACTCAAGCACCAGCCTGGGGAGAAAAACACAGAGAAAGAACACAGACGTGGGCTTTGTAAATACACGCCGATTCATAAAGTTAAAACTTTCAGACCCCAAACCCTCAACTGCAGGAAACAACACTAATGAACAGAAGTCATGGATGTAACATTTGTGCTCCTAAGCCTCCACTTCACAATTTATTTATTTTCTAAAAGCCATAGGATAATATGGTCTTGGAACATATGCTATCTAACATACTAAAATAAGACTCTGAATTTCCCAAAGAGTAGATTCTCACATTAATGTATTTTAAACTCTGAAATAGTCTATGGCAAAGTTAATATTTGAAATGTTCAAACAGCAATCAGTTATGTACAAACGATGGTTTTTTCAGAAAGAAATAATACAATCTGAAAATCTAATACACATCACATCATTATCTCAAATTTTACTAGTAAAGCACATAATTCAATGTATGATTATCACTGTCATTTTTAGTTATTTTTTACATTAAAATATCACATTTTTCAAACATTAAATTCCAATAAGCTACCCTATTTTTAGAAACAACCTATAATACATACCACAGTAGAAAAATTGATGTTATATATACAAAATTCTCTCTAAATTTTCAGGAAAATTTACCTAGAAACAACTAATATGGTCTATTAAAACAGACTATTTAAAAAATTAAAAGTAATAAAACTTCTAATATTCTTTTTGGTTGTACTTTTCAAGAGAGAGGGATCTCACTCTTGAACCAGCTGTTCTGGGATTTTCTGAAGCAATTTAACTGAATTATTTACCCCATGCATCCACTAAACAGGTATGCTGTCTTACCTTCCTTCATCAATATAATCTACTGCAAGTGTGCTGAGAATGAAGAGAATGAGGAGGGCAATGAACATGTGATATATTGTTCTGATGTGGTCCACCTCAAACAGCTCACTGTAATTTCAGTTCAAATAAAATTAATCAATATTTTAAAAAATCAAATATTAAAGACTTTACTTCAAAGTAGTTCAGAAGATGCTTAATCCATGCTCCAAAAACTTCTCAACAGTAATCACGAAATATTACTAATGAGTATCAGTATTCTTATAAAGAAATGAATAATAATTACCTACTCACAGAGCATTTCAAAAGAAATGTTCATTACCTACTCAAAATGCACTTTTAATTTTCAGTTCACAAATGAGGTTGCCGCAATTAGTCTACATAGCCTATTTTCCCCCCATAAAATCTACATAACTGCTATGACTGATCTATATTGATACACGACAGAAATTAACACAATATTGTAATTATCCTTCAATTAAAAATAAACAAAATAAGGAAGCTTCCCTGGTGGTCCAGTGGCTAAGACTCCAAGGTTCCAATGCAGGGGGCCTGGGTATTGATCCCTGGTCAGGGAACTAGATCCCACATGCCGCAGCTGAGTTTGTACACTGCAACTAAAGATTCCATGTGCCTCAACTGAGACCCAGCAGAGCCAAATAAATAAATATTAATAATTAATTAAGGGAAAAAAATCTACATAACTAGGGTTCTAAAATAAGTAAATTTGAGAAAATTATCAAGTCTCAAAGCCTAGCCAAAGAGCGATGAAAAAAACTTATGTGTCAAGAAGGCAGCCATACTCTCTCAAAAGTGGTTTACTCAATTGGGAATGTTTTGTTCCAGCTCTTTGGGTAACCAATTCTCTGAAGCACAACTTCAAGGAACTTATCAGAGGACCAATAACCACTCTCAGGGACAACTTCTCTTTTGAAACCAGACGCAGAACCAAAAAAACCAAAGGAGGAGCAAGAGATGGCAAATGTACAAAAAGAAGTATCAAAACTAATGGATTACATAAACACAGAACAAACAAACATTCATAGACTACACAGTGATTCTAACAATCAGAATAGCCTGATTTTTAAAAATTCAAACAAATAACCAAAACAACTAAAAATACTTACTCTAAGACAGATCGCCTTATAACAAAAATCTTTCCATGTTCCGGAGGTGCTCTCAGATCTCTGGGAAGACCAAAAATTAAAATAAAATATGAGTACTTCAAGTATTACAAGAAATTTAAACCTATGGATAAAGAGAAGGAATAAATACTACCAACTATAACTTGTAATATTAACTAACTGCCTTCTCACTATGATCCAGGTACTGTATTAGGGTTTTATGCATGTTATCTCATTTGCTCCTTCTGAACAATGCTATGAGGTAGGTGCAGACACATCTGATTAGGAAGGAAGAGATGTTGGGCAAACCTAACCAGAACAGCACTTAAGCCTTCTGGAAATGCCTGGCCAGCCCCTATGGAGAGAGAGGCATTCCTGGAATGACAGGTTGACAACCACTCTTCCTTCTCCTAAATATTCCTAAGGACAAGACTGCAGCCATACTTTACTCAGTTCACATACTATTGTTGATCTGTCCTCCAAAATGGCACTGGTATTTATGATCCCTTGTGGCTCAGCTGGTAAAGACCAGGGTTCAATCCCTGGGTTGGGAAGATCCCCTGGAGAAGGGAAAGGTTACCCACTCCAGTATTCTGGCCTGGAGAATTCCATGGACTATATAGTCCATGGGGTTGCAAACAGTTGGACACAACTGAGTGACTTTCACAACAACAACCCCTAGGGTCTTCCAACAATGACCAACAGCCTCATGATTTAAAAAGGTGCCTCCAGTTACTAAAACCTCCCATTTTAACATCTATCTCTATCATCCTCTTCAGGGTTTCTTGTAGTACCACTAGTACTTCTGGTGACTCTCCTGATCAAAACTGTTCTCCAGAACAGCAGACTGACAGAGACCAAAGAGGCATAAAAAAGGAAAGCACAAAACGGTAAATTAGCACACACTGGCCTTTGACAGCCCTCCCTTCCCCCTATGGCTCTGCGTGACTGACCAATAAGAATAACTACTTGCATTTTATTATAAGTACTGTACAGAGTACAACTGGGAGGCAAGATAATGATATAGCGAAGAGCACTGATGCTGGAGACAGACTCTGGGTTCAAATTCCCACTGTGTTATCTCGGACATTTAACTGCTCTCTGCTTCAGTTTCCCAAATTTGTAATATGCAGACAGTTATAGTATCTGCCTCATAGGGTCACTGTTTCATTTAAAGGTAAAGAATTCAACAAGTGCTGGCCACGTTATGAGTCAGTATAGTCTTAAATGAGGTATGCGTGTGTTATAATCCACATAGTAAGATGAAGAAACCCACCCTTAAACAGGTTAAAACAGAATATACAGCCAAAAAAAGGTGATGCTAGGGTGTGAACCCGGGCATTTTCCCACTGAGCTGTACTAGAATCTACGTGTGCATTAAAAGAAACTATTATTTGTACTTACTTAGCTCTATGGTTGTTGTCTCCCTCAAAAATAGAAAAGGATGTGAGAGCACAACCACCATTGTCTAATGATGCGGATTTTTCAATGAGACTGGTTACAAAATCATCAAAGTGACTGCCAACTTCCTTCATAAAAAAGGGCTTCAATTCCTAGGAATTTAAGACAAAGAAAACCATTAAGAACTAACTAGTTTATGAGTTGTTAACATTATTAAAGGGTTCTCTGGTGGGTTTTTTTTTTTTCTGGCTGTACGGGACAGGATGTGGGATCTTAGTTCTCCGACCCGGTTCCCTAAAGGGTACTCTTAAACAGAGCTGATGAAAAGAAATCCATGTTAAATGAATTCACAGGAGTAAAAACAGAAGAGTGATTTCTATATACATCTGAACTGTAGTTTCAGAAACCGCTACTGAAAAAGCAACATGATGATTTATGTCTACTAAATGAACTCCTCTGAATGACATATAAAACCAAAATGACAGAAATGCTAAAAATAACAGTATTTTCTTCTCTTCAAATTTTTATATGGAAAACAAAGTAAAAATTCAATATTATGTCACCATTATACAATTTTAAGTCCCCTTGCTTTTCAAGAAAACCCTTCAGTGCCAAGTACCCAGTGTTCATAAGTCATGTCATTACTGTATGAATCCAACATTTATACAGTATTTATTCCTACCTCCATAGCTATATATTTATCTACTCTATAACACGTACATTTATAACAGAATTGTTATACATTTTAACACTTCAAAACTTACAAATTCAGAGTTTTTGAAAAGTATTGGCCAAAAAAATTTCTTCAAATTACAACAGGCCACCTACTGTGGATGCTCAAATTGTAAACTGTGGTATTTTTAAACTGGCAGGACTCATCTATACAAAGAAAAACAAAGCATTACTTACTAATTTCTCCAAGAAAAAAAAATGCTCTCTCTTCTATTAGTTAGGTTGAGCCTAAAATATCTGAAGTAGCCTTTTTTCTGGATTCTGTTTTTGCTTTCTGGATTGTTTTGTTTGATTTGGTTTTAATATTTATTTATTTGGCTGCATAGGATCCCAGTTGTAGCACACAGGATCTTCTTCCTTGCATTGTGCAGGATCTATCGTTGTGGTGCATGGACTACCCGGTTGTGGCATGCGGGCTCAGCAGTTGAGGAGCACTGGCTTCGTTGCTCCATGGCATGTGGGATCCTAGTTCCCCAACCAGGGATCAAACTCAAGTCTCCTGCACGGCACCACTAGACCATCAGGGAAGTCCTGGACTCTTAACAGCTTGACCAAGTCCTTTAAAAGCAAAGCCTTAAAATATTAATGTATCTAATGGAACTATGTGAAAGCTTTTCAAACTACTTTCTCCCAGAGTTCTCAAATGTTTGGGGCGGGGGGTGGGGTGGGGAGAGGTCTTGGGCAGTGAGAATACACTGAAATCCCAGCCCTGAGGACAATGAAACTGAGCAGGATCCTATGGGGCTCCTGAGTACAAAAGTCTGTCTGTTTCTTGTTTGCAGGAAACAGGTTTCATTCAGCCTCCTTGACCTTCCTTACAAAGGGTAGGTTCCAACAGTGGTAATCAGGGAAGGAATGGAATGCAAAAACAAGGGAGGAGCAATGAAGAAACCACAGTGCAGGAACTTCCCTGGAGTCCAGTGGTTAATACTCTGCTTGCGCTGCAAGGGGCACGGGTTCAACTCCTGGTCATTCTTGGTCAGGGAACTAAGATCCCACAAGCCATGAGAAAGTAAAGTTGCTCAGTCGTGTCTGACTCTTTGCAACCCCATGGATTGTAGCCTACCAGGCTCCTCTGGCCACGGAATTTTCCAGGCAAGAGTACTGGAGTGGGTTGCCATTTCCTTCTCCAGGGGATCTTACCCACCCAGGGATTGAAACCAGGTCGCCTGCATTGCTGACAGTCACTTTACCATCTGAGCCATCAGGGAAACCAATCAGAAGGAAGCCATAATCTGTAGCCCTCACCCCAAATTCTGCCTGTGAAAACTTACCACAAACCATCACAAAGTTTGGGATTTTTGAGCACAAGCCACATGTTCTCCTTGTATGGCCCTGTAATAAATCTTTTTCTGCTTCAGACTCTAACATTTCAGTTTATCTGGCCTCACTGTGCATCAGGCACACAAACTTTGCTCAGTAATAATAGCGGATGGAGATGGAAAATATGAGATATACACATATGAATGATACAGAGTAGACTACCTGTCACCTGAGCAACATAACCATTAGTGAAAAGACTCAAAGAACATCCAAAAATTTAGCAAAGAAAGCAGAGCAGAGATGACTGGAAATGCCTTTTCTAGCAGAATGTTAAACTAAAACCTTTGAAGACCCCAGTGAGTAGGACTTAAGATTGACTGGAAAGTGAGTGGAAGAGATAAGATGATGAAAAACAGAGAAAGAGAAAATATTAGACAAAACAGGAAATGTGAATGATGTTGGCTGGTTTTGTTAGGGGAAATACTGACTGAAACTGCCCACCTGGGTCACGCAAGGTAGCAGTCACTTGCATGAGCTATCTTAACAGGAGATCCTGGAAAGGAATGTGGAACTGACAAGCTACTGAAAGTGAAGTCGCTGAGTCATATCTGACTCTTTGTGGCCCCATGGAATGTAGTCTACCAAGCTTCTCTGTCCATGGGATTTTCCAGGCAAGAATACTGGAGTGGGTTGCCATTTCCTTCTCCAGACAAGCTGTTAGGTTAGTGCAAAAGTAATTGTGGTTTCAGACCGTGACTTTTAAATCATTATAACTAGGCTCAATCATATCTTTATTATCAAAATAGGAATCATTACAACCAACATATTTTTGCCAATGAGAAAAGTTTGTTGATTCCTGTAGCATAAAAATCTGTGCTTCAGGATTCGATGAACTCTTGGAAAGCATTTTCTGTCTCCTGCTGGATGTAGAAGTGTTTTCCCTGCAAAAAGTTGTCCAAATGCTTGAAGAAGTGGTAGTCGGTAAGAGGTCAGGTGAATACAGTGGATGAGACAAAACTTTGTAGCCCAATTAGTTCAACTTTTGAAGTGTTGGTTGTGTGACATGCAGTTGGGCATTGCCATGGAGAAGAATCGGGCCCTTTCTGTTGACCAATACTGGCAGGAGGCGTTACGGTTTTTTGATGCATTTCATTGATCTGCTGAGCATACTTCTCAGATGTAATAGTTTTGCTGGAATTCAGAAAGCTGTAGTGAATCAGACCAGCAGCAGACCACAAAACATTGACTATGACCTTTTCTGGTGCAAGTTTGGCTTTGGGAATTGCTTGGAAGCTTCTTCTGGTCCAATCACCAAGCCATCACTGCTGGCTGTCATATAAAATTCACTTTTTGTCCCACATCACAATCCAATCAAGAAACGGTTTGTTGTTGCTGCACAGAATAAGAGACAATGGAACGATATTTTTGATTTGTGGTCAGCTCATGAGGCAAAAACTTCTTGAGTTTTTTCACATCTCTCCAATTTGCTTCAAATGCGGGATGACCAAAGAATGGTTGAGGATGACGTTGAGTTCTTTGGCAACTTCTTGTGTAGTTTTAAGACGATCAGCTTCAGTGACGGTTCTCAATTGGTCATTTTCAACTTCCGATGGCCAGCCACTGCAATCTTCATCTTCAAGGCTCTCATCTTCTTTGCAAAACTTCTTGAACCACCACCACACTGTACATTCATTACATGCACACTGTACATTCCTGGGCTAAATGTGTTGTTGATGTTGTGAGTTGTCTCTGATTCTCATGACCCATTCTGAACTCGAGTGACAAAATCGCTCGAATTTGCTTTCTGTCTAACATCATTTCCTAGTCTAAAATAAATATAAAATACACAGCAACTAGTAAGTCATTAGTTTAAAAAAAAAGCAAGAAATGCACATTAAGATGATGTATAACACAGCTACATTTATTTAAGAATGTATTCCAATATCAAATCGCAAAGTTCAACAATGCAAAACCGCAACTACTTTTGCACCAATCTAATACTACCAACCAGAAGAATTCAGGAAAGGTCACAAAGAGAAAGGAGATGCCAGTCCATATGTCCTACCAACCTCCCAGAATGCCCACTCGAATCCATCTTGGCTGAGTGTTACATGTACCACAGGAAGGACCCTATGTCTTAGACAACCTGGAAACTAATCCCACCACCATAAAACCTGAGTCAGCGAGCCACAGGGTTCCCCTTCCTGCTACAGTTTTAAGGACAAAACAGAGAACCTATGTCCCCTGGAAGAAATAAGGAGTTTTATAAAATTACTTGTTCACATTAAGGCTATTCAAATAGTATTTTTAGTTTCTTTTGCTTGTTTCATTTCAATTACATGCCCCTCTTCATTCTGAAATTTTTCAATAGGTATGATGCTTCCCCAACCAAAAACAAAACATTCAAAAAAGTGACACTCAAAAAAAAAAAAAAAAAGGTTCTTTTCTCATTAAACCCTATTAATGCTTTTGCACTCGCACAGAGTCGGACACAACTGAAGCGACTGAGCAGCAGCAGCAGCAAAAGAACTGAACTGCTTAATAAATCAAGGGTTTTTTCCAACTACCAAAATGTTGTCCAACGCAGAAATATACTGAAAGAGAGGAAAGGAAAGAATTCATTCATTCCACTGAGTGCTAGGTACAGTTCTGGGCACTGTTGTGGCACTGCTTGTAGCACTGGTGAGAGATGGCAGTGAACAAAGCCTAGTCCCTGTCCTCATGGAACTTAAAATTCCAACGAGGGTAAACAGGACATACAGTATGCCAGATGGTGTTAAGGCAAGAAATAGAGAGGGACTCAGGGAAAGAGGGTGTTACTTTTCATAGAGAGGTCAGGGAAAACCTCAAAGATTAAGATGACATTTGAGATGATCTGTAGAAGGAAAAAGTGCAAGTTAGTTGATTTGTATGTGGGAAAAGTACCAGAAAGAAAAAAGCATACATGTAAAAAGGCCTGAGGCAGGAACACCCTTGACATGTTTGAGAAATAGCAAGGAAACAGGACATCATAGTTGAAGCAAAAGAGTGATAAGAGTTGAAGTCAGAAAAGAAGGGGAGGGTGGCAGGAGAGGGGCTAAACCATTTCTGGTCTTAACACTTTACTCCCTATTCATATCAGCTCACTGAAATCTTACTCAGCATTACAAAAAGAAGC